GGTCATTTTGGCCTTCCAATCACATACATGTACATGTACTGTGGTATAACACGCTAATCTGCAGATAATTTTACGCAGTACGGGGTTTTACCATGCATTGTGAATGGTTGCATCTGTATGGGACAATGGCACGAAGAAGGCAGAATTACAAGCCTTAGGATGCTTGCTGACTGAGCCGGAAATTGGATGCAGAACAGACCCGGGGCCAATGAGATGTCATCAGGAACAGCGGGGGCCAAGAGGGAGGAACCCTCGGGTGAGTCGGGTACTGGAGAGCAAAAGCAGAAGAGAGTACAGGAGAAAGCCAAATTTTGTGAACATTTTAGTGAATTTGTGTTTGTCCAGAGCAGCCTGGGTTTGCAGGCGCAATAACAGAATAGCTGTGAGTCAGGTTGTTTTGAAAATGACGGTATGACAACATCAGATTTCAGTCATCGGCAATGCATGGAATTCTGAAAAAGACCTGGGGATGGGACAGGCTGAGGTTGAAAAGTGGTTTACTGAGATGGCAAAGGGGCAGATGGAACACCTGTGGGTATAGGCTGAACGTGCAGAGCCAAGGATTCCTGGCTGAGATTAAAAGGCTATTTATCTGAGCAGCAAATTGAAATATCCATTAAAATGTGAAATGTGTTTTAGTTGATTATGAATCACTGACACATGAAACTAATTAAAGTTGGCTATTGTCATCCCACCCGAACTAAACTTAATTTAAATTAAATAGAAATTCTTAGTGCAGACTGATCAGAACTTTCAAAAAGTTGATCACAACACCCCAAGGACTACTGTGGTTGAGAAATCAATATATAGTAGCCAATTAATCACTTAAATCCATTCATATACCAATGAAATCGAATTAACTCATCAACAGGTGTTCCTCATCATTAAATATTCTTTAATCCTCTCTTTCTTTTCAGAAAGTCTTTTATTTAATTAACGTCTGAGTCTGCTCTGTTTTCTAATGACCATGTATCTTCTGCTGCACCTCTAACCATAACATTCTTTAAGATGCTGCTTTTAAAGGTGCTATATAAAAAAAGTTATTAATATTATTTTTGTTGTTGAAGGTTAAGTCTCATTATACAAAAATAGATATTTGTTGGAATATTTATTGGTTTAGAGAAAAAACACTCAAGGTTCAGTAGAAGATCACTGTATGTTAAGAAACACATAATTGTGTTTCAGTAGAAGAAACACAGTTATGTTTCTGCATAAAGAACATTTACTGCACAAAGACTGCTGCCCAGCATTGTATACTGTAGGTCTTTTATGTAGCTATTAAAAAATAATTATTGAAATAAACTCTGATTTAATATCTCACGAATTACTGCAGCTTCTTATAATTTAAATATCACATTGTCAAAGAGATTATTAATATAACCAAATATTATTCATGAAAGGACAATGGCAAGTCAAGTTTGGATGGATTAGACTATAAAGGAAAAAGAAAACAGGTGAGGATTTTTGTATATTGTATGTCTAGCCTGTTTTGAGTGCAATAAGATGTTTTCCTTTGCAAATTCTGAACCATTAAAAGAAAATACAAACTGACAGCCATTAAATTTGTGTGTTAATAGTACCCTAAAGCCACTTTTTGTGGATGAATATCTAAGCCATTGTCACTAACAATAACAAGAAACATGTTGGGTTTCTATGGAAACCCTGTAGATGTTTGTGATAAAAAAGCAATGATATCTGGTCTGCTTGTCTAACTTCTCAATGGGGCTTCAGGCCTAATATTCAAATGTGGCATAGTACAGTATGTAAATTATTTTTAAAGAATTCTTTCACATATTGTAGGCTAGATGTTTCACATTAAGTCATCGGAATAACGAGTTGCAGGAAAAAAATATTACTTTGCTTTTACCTGTAAAAGTATTTGGTATTTGATTATTTGCAGTGAACATCATAATGAGTAATAGTGAAGTATAAGGAGTTTAGATCTATTTAATGCACGTTAATGTGGAAAGCGCACAACATTCAGTGCAGGAAACAGTATGGTACTGGTTAATCATTTCATTATTTTCATAGAGCCTATAGAACATCTTCATTACTCTGCTTTATTGGGTAAAAACATCCTTTAGCAAATGCAGGCAAGATCTTCTTCATGGGAGAATGGTGTGATTATTGAGACATCCTTCTTACCTCCTTCTCTGTAGCCAGTAATGGAGCAGGCATAATCTCAAATTAAAGGGCTTTGGAGTCATAAATTGAAAAAAATAAATAGGCTAAATGTTCCAAAATTCTGCTTTTGCTTTTCTTAATTTTCTTCTGGGTTTTCTACTGGCTTGTATGTAATGCCAGTGCATGCTTAATTTGCTTGTGAAATAGGATCCAGGGCAGTATGGTTCAATTTTTATAAGATTCTCAAAGAAAATTAAATTGGCAATTCACACAGGATGAGCTCCTATTGTTTCTGCAGGTGTCCTTCTGCCTTTGTGCACATTGAGATGGTACAGTAGAGAGCCCTTACTGCCCTCTTCTGGGCCTTTGGCTTTCTTGTCACTCTCAGGCCTTCCATTAACAATTTAGTGTCGGTCCAGATATTTCAGTTATTCTTGTCTAGCTTCCTGCTGGGCAGGGATGTGCTTCTACACAAGGACTATCACAATTATTAGACCGGAAACATTGTGCACTTTGCCTGCAAGTAAGATTCAACCTTCGCTCCAGATATTGCACTCGGATCACTATTCTGCTATACTTTTAAGATTTAGCTCTTTAGATTAAGTCCATTATAAACTATGGACAAAATGTGAATTTCAGGGATGCATTTGTGATTCCTGCTTTTCAATGTTAACTCATTCAGGCTTTTACTACAATACAAATCTTACCAATGAACTCAGCTCCTCCATCTGCATAGATAAGTACAGCTTCACACTCATCACTTGCTAGCAAAATGTCATTCTGTCTTCCAAGTGTCTGCTAAGGAATGAGAAGTGACAAGACATCTGTCTAATTAATGCTTTAGACAGACTATATCACTGCAACGTAGCACTGCATTCACAATTTCTCCTACTGTTCAGCAATCCCGTATTATAATAGAGGACTTCAAGACATCCGTCACCCTTTAACCCACATGGTTGGATACCCTGCCTAATGTGGATAATGACTTCAGAATGCTTTTTTGAAACGTATCATAATTTTCAGTGCCACATTAAGGCTTAAAAAAAAGTGTAATAGCTGCAACCCTAATGGCATTCTGTGCTGTACCGTGACTGGACATTTAAAAAGAAACTAGACATTTTATCTCATTGAAATTAATTTGCTGTCTTCACTGAATTGCTCCTCTTTGTTCCCTTTATTGCAGATAATATGGAGGTAAAATGTCACGCAAAACTGGTGACGTCTTTGTTATCTGCAGATAAAGGGGAGCTATCTCCCACAGTCCTACAGTAATTTGGTTAGGTCTGTCTGTATTATACAATTAAATATAATACTGTGATAATTGGCAACAGACACTGCATAACATAATGCAAGTGATGTGCAGTTGACATTCCTATAATGCTCTGGATGCCATAATGTAAAGTCACTTAATAGCGTGATCTTACCAATACCACAAATTGATTCAAAAATCTTGCATAGGATGCAGTTCTTGTATAATGAGAGCTTTGAACTTTTGAGATTAATTCAAGATTATGTTTCATTGCATTGTGTCAGTAATGCTTCGAAGTCTGAGGTTCATAAAAGTATTTATGTTTCTCATTAGAGTTAAATTGCTTTTGTAGCAGACTGGACAATCTAATCACAGCTGTACCACATAGAGCTGTGATCTGCTCCATCCTATTTAATATGCGTCCTTTCTTTCAACCCATTCAAACAAACTTAGTTGGAATGATTTGTCTGAGTATAATAGGGCAGTAATAACACTTAAGATGTTTTGAAGTTTTTTTTTAACATCGAGTGTAAACCCCTTTAAAATGTATTGTATTTTTCCCACACAGCTCTTCAAAAAAGTCTAACTTAATGCACAGAATTTCAACATGCAAAAAGATGTCTCGTGATGTTCTTACTGTTCCTTTCTGTCAGGGTCTTTAGTCTTTTAAGGATATGTATGGCTAAATGCTGCCGGATGTTTAATGAATCGTATTTTCTCCCACTTTGCAAACCTTAGGTATTTATTTGTTGAACTCAATAGACTGACCATGTTTGTTTTGTTCTATTGTGTTTTTATTTTTTAAGGTGCAGCCTATACTGTATGTTGTTGAATTCTACAGAATTGGGAACATTCTGTCCTGTGCTGTGATATTTAGTGTAATTTGCAATAAATTAAAGTAGTTTTTAAAAAGACTGTTCATCCATCTTCTAAACCACTTTATCTAGTACAGGTTTGTGAGATAACCAAAGTTTTTTCTTGCACAAGGCAGGATATACTCCAGACAGGACGCCAGTCCATCGCAGGGCAGACACAGACAAACACACACACATGTACAAGTAGCGATTTTACAGAAGCCACTTAACTTACCAGCATTTCTTTGGAGGTCTTTGTGGAAAACAAGAACACCCAGAGGAAACCCATGCCAACACAGTGAGAACGTACAGACTCCATGCAGATATCTTTTCAGGAGTTGAACCCAAGGATCCAGCATTACAAAGCAGTAATGCTTAGCACTGTGGCACTCCTAGGCTGTTCATTTTAATTGATATATCTTAAAAATCTGTACTACATTTTTTGTAATAATTTACTTTGCAAAGTAATGTTTATGTTTTAAATAACTGAAATGAGATGTTTAATAAACAATTCAAATTAATCATCTAAGATATAATGTTTTGCTTTAATGATCTGACTTTTGAGAGGGGAAGGGTCCCATTGCCTATGATTTTTTAGTTTTCATTAAGGCTGAAAAGTTTTGAATTGCTGCCCTCTAGTGCCGAATATTAAAAAACAGCTTCAACAAGAAATTTGCATTGGCTGCTGTCAGGAAATCGTGAATGCTATTTGTCATTGCTTATGATTTGTTTAATTGTTTTCTTATGTATGATTCTCTTTCATTCTCCTTCAGGACACGCCAGACTATAACAATGTGCAGGAACTGCAATATTTAGACATAGTCATCTCAGAGACCCTGCGTATGTTCCCTCCTGGTTTCAGGTAAATACTCCATCTATAAATACTGTACATATTCACGAAACACTACCATACGTATTTACATGGTGAATGCTGTATATACTGTAGCATATCTGATAAGTGAAAACATGAAAAGAGAGAATAATATATAATTTTAATGTTAATTTTTAAAATATTTAGATTTCATTAAAAAAAGAGATACTAACAAAGGGAGACAGTTACACAATGTGGTAACTAGAGGTGTCTCCCCTCAAAAGCCCAGATTTATTTTAAAACAGTTGATGATCTTCCTGTGACAATAAAGCATAAAACACAATTGGGAAAATATATCCTTCAGGCTTATCTTCAGTGTAGGGTAGACAAAGTCATTCAGTGCTTACAATTAAACAATACACATAATTGAATAACACTGTAAAATAAAGACAACTCTTCAGGTCTTTTAGAAGACATACTGTAGTAAACTTTAACTCAACAGAAAGGTAAGTGTACAGATCTTAAGAAAGTTTCCCCCCAGCGAAACAAAGCCCACTAACACATGACACATGTGTACTCAGGATAAAGAGATGGAAAAGAGTGGAAAAGCAGCATAGATGTTGATCCAAGTTGCTGAGGCCTGTCACTTTTAATTTTTGGCCTTGGCCTGACTAGAGAAGTAATTCCCTTGTCACAGATATATTTTACAGAAACAGACTAGCTAAAGAACCAGATATAGAAATCTATGTATTTGGATAAGGCACAACTCCTGCATGCTTCATTTAAATCTGTTTCAGAGACATACTGCATCTCTGAATCTTTCTTACAACACTACCAATATCCACCGACAACCAGACTATTTCTCCAAGATACATCAAATGAAGAATTCAGATAACAAGTGATCTCTAAAAGGGTCAAAACAGGCCCATTATGTTTGGATCACAACAGTTTCCCACTGTCCATGAGGATTGTCAATTGAATCTCATTAGAGCTCCTGCATATCTATTATCCTGACCATTATTTGAAAATCTGGATTAAATTAGAGGACCCTATATTAAAAACACTCTGGTGCGTAAATCCCCGTAAACTCAGTTGGGTTTTTCAGCATTTTAACTAGAGTTTCGGTTAAGTGATTCTGGGAGTCTAACTTTTGCAGTGCCTGTTAATGGCCAAGTCTGGTCACTTGACTTGAGAAGATTTTTTGTAACGCCCTTCTTGGTTGTCTTTTTGACAGTTTGGTATTGCTCCACAGGTTTGCACGGGATGCTGCAGAGGACTGTACTGTAAATGGGCAGTTTATTCCCCGTGGTGCTACAGTTGAAATTCCTGTAGGTTATTTACATTATAATGCTGACTACTGGCCTGAGCCTGAAAGGTTCATTCCTGAGAGGTAGGAAACATTATATTTAGATTATAATGGTAGACTGTAGCAAATGGTTTAAACTTTGAAACTACATGTAATCCATCCGTTATCATAAAGTTGGTAACCTTGAGAGTTATGGCAATCTGCAGCCTATCCCAGAGTCACAAGATGGGACTGAGAGCATATCACTGCTGCAATCCTATATAGCCGTGGTTTTCAAACTGTGTATAGAAAGGAATAGGAATGCGTACTACGAACGTAAGTGGCTACTGTAATTGTATTTAAAAAAAGGTCTCTTCAGCAAATAGGGAGGTTGGAGATTTTGGAACAATGTCAATCCTGTGAGCACAGGAAAGCGTGATAGATAACAGAAACATATTTAAGAACTGTTCTAGGGTAATTTGAGAAAAATACACCGAGCGTCTATGTGTTTCGCTTCCATGTGAAAGAAATAAAAACTTCTTTTAACTTCTGAGATGGACCCTTGAAATGGAAACGGGAGAAAATGCAAGCTTGCAGATTGCTGAAGCTGGTAAGCTCCACACTACTTGCGAAGAACTTTGTACACCGTTGGCAAAAGAGCTGACACGTATTATGTGTGGAGAAAAAGCTGCTAAACAGTTCCACCTCACTCGTAGAATTATTGATATGGCAGATGATGTCAAAACATAAGCTGATAGAGCACGTTAAGAGGAGCAGATGCTTTTCACTGCAATTAGATGAGTTTGTAGATGCCGTTGAATTGGCCAGTTTGCTCATTTATGTTAGATACGAGTTTGAGGGCACATTCCTTGAGGACTTTCTGTTCTGTAGGCCACTACCAACAAAAACTACAGGAGAGCACATATTTCAGCTTCTGAATTAATTTATCAAAGAGAATGTCTTCGACTGGATAACAGGCAGACACAGCGATGTAGTTGCACAAATTAGATAGGTTTCTCCAGATATGAAGTGGACGCACTGCAGCCTCCACCACAAGGCCTTAGCAATCAAGAAAATGCCTGAGGATTTAAAATCTGTTAGACTCTGATGTCAAAGTTGTGAACTGTATCAAGGCTCAATCAATGAATTCACATCTGCTTTGCTCTACTAAACAGGCTCACCCCTCTCACTGAAATGGTGTCACGGCCTCCACTAATCAGACACAAGCCCCTGCTTCTACCCACAGATGCTGACGGATATCCTAATTATCCAACCACGTCCCTAGTCCTGCACCACACCTTCTGACCACCCACTACTTAAGTGTTCCTAACCTGCACTTCCTCGCTCAGTATTAAGTTCGTTCTTATAAAGCTCACCTTCCTTATTAACTCCCTGTCTGAGAGAACTATTGTCTTGTGAAAACCCGGATTCTTAACCTATGCATCCCCCAGACCATGACTTTTGGCAACGCGACTCGGCTAAGTACACCAGGCATCTGCTCTCCATATAATTTCCTTGCTTAACATCTTTAGCTAAGCACTGCGTAGGGTCCAGTCCCCTTGCTGAACCTTCTGGCACATTACAAACAGTAAGTGCTCAGTGCTATTTTTATTACATGTGAGAGTGTGCGTGCACGCGCACATGTTGGTCATTTCTGGGAATTTCTGGGGTTCCTATGAGAAGATTACTTGTGCTGTAGTTGGTACTTGGATACTTTGGTTTGATCACGGGTGGAACTTGGTCCAGAAAGTTTGAGAACCACTGCTATATAGGATGTAGTACATCAGAGGAACTCCCTTAAAAATCAAAAGAACAAGATATAATTTCAGAACAACTGTACAGTACATAAGATGATCTAATATTAAATAATAATATCCCTACGTTAAATACTGTGTTGTTAAGAAATCCTTGAAGACCTATTAAATCTAAAAATGTTGGTCTGAGAAAGGAATTATAGTTTCTAAAACTTGTAGCATGTGTAAGTAAAGAAACCACCACAACTCAACATGTGTGATATTTCTTTATCTAAGGCAACAGAAACAATAGCAAATCATTCCTGATGTTCATGAGCTGAGTTGATTCCTTTTCATAAGGTTTCACCCATTATAGACCTTTGTGAGATCTACACTAGTACCTTCTGTCTGCACATTGTTTAATATTTTAGCACATTTTATGTTCAAGCAGCTGTGTCTTATTTATAATGTTTTTGTTTTAGTAATCATTTTGATTTTTAGAAAGTTACGTATATACATTCACTGTGTTGAAAGACTGAAGACACACTTTTGTAGAGCTCATTATTACTGAACACTGTGGTGTCAGAGCTATTTATCTCTTTCCTGTGATTTGGCAGTGTAAATGAAATTCACTGTTTGATATTGGGTTCAACAATTCCCAGGTTCACAGCAGAAGCCAAGGCCGAAAGGCATCCATTTGCTTACCTGCCATTTGGAGCAGGACCTCGCAGCTGTGTAGGCATGAGGCTGGCATTGTTGGAGGCGAAGATTGCCATGCTCCGCATTTTTCGAAGGTTCCAGTTTGAAACCTGCCCACAGACAGAGGTGTGAGCATTTTCCTTACAGACATTTTATTTTTTTCTGAATTTAACTATACTTAAGAATTGGTATTTTCAATTGAAATGAATGTAAACAATTGCAGACATAGACGAGATGCAATTACATGAGAATAAGCAAAATCTCTGTGTTATCTTCAGTGATCTCATTAATCAGGAGTGCATTTATTTTCTTGCAAGATTATTATAAAGAAAATAATAATAGGTATAAATCACATGTAAAGAAGAGAGTGAAAATGGAAAGAGCTTGTGCTTCTATATGAATTATCAGAGCTTGACTGTATCAGGATTTTTACTGAATTGATCGATTTCTTGACTTTGTAACCTATTCCTGGATTTAATTTCAGATTCCTCTGGAGTTAAAATCCAACTCCACCCTTGGACCCAAAAATGGAATATTTCTCAAAATCATACACCGACAGCCAGTTGCATGCCACAAAGAAGATTTGTAACTCTACTGTGTCTCTGCCTGTAATAATTTGCTCATGATTTACTCACTTTTTCTTTAGATATGTTAATTTTTTTACATTTCAGGGCATTTGGGAGTATGTACTGTACTGATAACTATATATTTTTAGGTTTAAATATGTATTGTGTGCTTCTCAAATGGTTTTCAATGAGTGAGTTTATATTAGAAAATGAAGAAAGAGACAACACAGGTGTTTAAAGAAGAACAGTTTTTTTTAGAACATAGTCTGGAGAGAAAATGTAAACAGCTCAACCAGTAAAAGTGTGCATTCATAACAAATGCACAGAGTCCTCATCTCACTAGTCATTAGCTGGATTTGAGGGGGAATGTACAAGTACTGACAGAGGTTAATTTTGAATTGACCAAAACTGCAATACCAGTCCCTGTGAGTGGCTAGCCATTTGAGTTTGCGGTGTTATCACCAAGAGCCACAAACTGTAAAACAATGCTGGAAGCATTGTGGAGTTAGTGCACACATTATGGTTTTGATGGACAATGATGGACAAAATGATGGACAAATACATGTTTTGGAAGGACAAATGACAATACCAAACTGTATTGGTAGAAAAACAAAAAATAGAAATTCTAAATGTAATAGCAGATCAATACTAAGTTTTGGATTGTATGGCTTTTAGATAATTATTGCACAATAATTTAAATATACTTGGATATGGTGAGTTTGTTCCTGTTTGGTACACATACAAAAGGGTAAGCCAACAGGGGAAAAGTAATCTTTTTCAATTCACAGTTCAAAAGTTAAAGTTTATTGAGGTCATACTAAACTGTCAGTTTGATAAAGATCCGTACCCTACCACCATTGATTTTTCAGGTAATCAAGATCCATGCTAGAAATGCTGTATAAAAAGAAATGTGACAAATATGTTAACTTCTTTGCATTATCCATAATAGAAAAAAAATATTGGTAACAGACAATTAATTGTAATCATATTGATGATTCCTGGAGATCATAAAGGATCTCTTTTCTGTATCAAGTAAGTTGTATGTATGACATCTGTGATGATTATACTGTAGGTTGTTTTTCTAGTATGAAATGAAATGACATACAGTATGACATTACAGTTGTTAAGGTGGATCCTGATAGATCTTAGAATCAAAATTTTGACATTTCATTCTCAAACCACAGTAATAACTACTGGAAAATCCAGTAGTGCTTCCTCTTCTATGGTAGATATGAGTAAATATAAACATTAACAGAAACTAAATTCACAGTAATTCACAAAGAGCTTAATGTGATTTGATACTACATAGGTTATGTTTTCTTTTGCACTTTTTTTCCTGGGAAAGGCAATGACAATGGCCTACTTTTACTTTGTACTGATGACATACTGTAACAGTATTTACTGTTCTCACAAAGTAAATACTTAAAATTTTAAATCTGCACTGTGTTTGTCCTGCTTTAGGAGTCGAGTGTGGTAAGTGTGGTAAGCATTCTCCTTGAAACAGTGAATTACACATAGTAATCCCAATATGCAGGATTCTTGTAGCCAATTATGCCACCTAGTGATTCAAAGATTCTAGAGATCTTATTCCTACTTAGGCACCCAGATCTCCCTCAGCCTGGCACAAGATGTATTCAAAACGGGAACTGTGTTCTTCAGTCTCACACTGAATTACCATAGGGCACATTTAGCCCACTTACATAAAGCATATAAAGTCCTTATTTCTCAATACAGTAACTGGCCTTTGTTGAACAGATTGGTTAACTGAATAAAAGATTACTGTAAGTGTACACAGTAAACAAAGTAAATAAAAAAGTACATACAGTACACACAAAAAAACAAACCATTTGTTCCCGGTAGTCATTTTTGGAAAGAAGATACCAAAAAAAAAATTCCACACACCAGTCAAATTTAAATTGACCTCCGTACAACAGCTCTAAGAATGAAACCCACCCCACTCTTCAGTGCTTCATTAGTGCTGGCTTGTGCCAATAAAAGTAGAGTTTGTGTTGCTTTCATTCTCAAGCTATAGCATGTTCTTCGAGCTTTCTTTTCCAAGATATAAGATGTTTGGGAGGGTGTGATGTCACCCAGCCGCTCTATAACAGAGCTGTAGAACCGAGCTGGACTTGTTCGTTAGTGCTGTGGTAGTGTCAGTTTGTGCCATTGAAAGTAGCTTTCGAGCAGCTTTTGTTCAGAGATATAGCACCTTATTTTTCAGATAATCACTTTGCTGATAAGAACTTTACCGTTAGTAACACATTCTGATGTATTTAATTACAGAATGCAAGAATAAGAATGCCTGCAATTTGCTTCTCTGACTGTCCAGGTAGTTGAGGTGGGGTGGAAGTTTTGCATTTTAATAGATTTGAATTTGTGCGTTTATGTGAATAGTAAAATTAAATCCCATCTTAATGTAACCAGAAGAGTTGCTGTTTTAGCTTTAAAAAGGAAACATCTGGAAACAATTTGTTTAAAAGGAAAATAAAGGGAATTTATTTTTGTATCCTTTTTAATTAATATGCAGTTTAAAAGACATTTAAAGTTTCAACCCATCTTTCAAGCTACGTATAATGTATGTAAAATGGTAGAATGAGCAACTTCCTGCATTAAAATACTAGTGTTGTATTACTTATGCAATGCTAAGACATAAACATGGAAAAGTATTAGGAAATTGGATTATAGTATCAAATTGACCTAAGTAGTTAATAAAAAGTTAATATCATATCTAGAAAACCATTGAAAATGCTACCATATCATGTGTATAGACTTCAGTTATATTTGAAAATGTTTATATTTGCTAACTATGTAAATTTTGAAGAGAATATGTTCCATATTACATTTGAATTGGAGCTTCTTTCAATTATACATTCATGCATTTTCTAACCAGTTTATGAAATACAGAGTCACATGGGACTAAGAGCAATATACAAAAAGCAGAGTACACTCTGGAAGGGTGACAGTCAAAACACACACAATTTTGTAACAATGTATATTTGGATAGATTACGAACACCATTTCATCTTCTCTGAACTCATAGTTCTTAAAAGATCTTAAGTGTTCTCTGTGATTTTGAAATTTCTTTTATTTACAGAACTCATTAAATAAAAATGGGCAGAATAAAATCAATTGTATCTTTATAATTAGATGATAATAATAAATAAATACAGTAATTACATTATTTGAAAATGCTGTAGTGCAAGAACAAGTACTGTTGTTATTAACTATTTCTCCACATTTGATCATTTCCATGATCAAATCTAAGGACTTTTGTAATACAATCTTTCATAATTTTGAATGAAAATTTGGAAAAATATTGACATTGCTTGCGCCACCTGCTGGCAAATTACTAAAATACTGTAGCAGTTGGATTACTAAAACAGATTCATGGATACTGAACTTCTTTCTTCTAAAAAAGTTGTATTTTTTAAATATAATATAATACAGTTAGTTGACCCTTTTAATATAACTTGCCATTTAAAACTTTTTTTTTCTAAATCAAACAGAAGTAAAAGATTTATAGGACTGAACTCTGTACTCAGATGGAAAACAAAATTGTTGTCATTGAAGGCAAAAGTGTTTTAGTCATACTTTAACATCTGCCTTACTGCCTTCTCTTGAATATTGCTTAAGTGGTCACTGGATTCACTGGAAAACCAGCTTCTTGGTGACTTGACTGACCTCTTAGTATTCTCTGATTTCTCCAGGGAGTTGCACTGCTGCTACTTGGGAGGCCTCTTTCAGTTCTCTAAGTCCTCCCATATGAGCTTGACTGTTGTGGGATACATTTCTACCTGGAGCTCATGAATGTTTTCTAGAAAATTATCTTTTTATTTCTGTTGTCTCTTCTCTTGAACATCTGCAGCTTCATTCTTGATTCAACACTTCACCTGTAACTGTAGTGTAAAGTTAGGCTTTACCTGAAACTTTATATCATCAGTAGAAAATCCAGTTTCAATTTAATGGGCCAATATTTACTGATTGAGGTCTTTCCTGTACTGTTTGTCAGCATCTTTGTCATGGTCTATAACAGTTTTTCTTTTAGTTAAATTGCTCTGCATATAAAATACTGAGCTCACTCTTAGTGCTATTGAGAAGTACAATAAAACCTGAATATTGGCAAGTTCTGCATTCACAATTTCTCTTGTTTTTGCAAAATTATTAGCGACATCTTTATTCGTGGCCACTCACTTATGCATCTTCTTCATCCAACCTGTATTGATCTCAGTTTTCTTGTGCTTCTCTGCCTCTAATCGGTATCATTATCAACTGTTATATTCAGTAACTCTGGTTATTACAATGGCTGCAATTTGATATGTCACCTAGTTTGCAGAAATTTAAACTAGCGTTAAAGAATCTGACCCTCAAAGTAAAAACTTAACAAATGTGGTTTGTTATGTCAACATTGAGAAGATGAAAGAGACTTAATATGTAGATTGAAGAGATTCTGAATAATAGAAAAACAGTGGTTGATGGTAAGGCATAAGTGGTCTAAGGCAGCAAGCTCTGCACATCTACAGTATGAGCACCCAGTAGCAGCCAACAAACACCCTTTTGTGTTCAGTCACTATATGCAAGTGTCTCCACTATTAATGTAAGTGCAATACTTTACACTTTGTCTGTTATTACTGTGATTATACTTTAGTACAGCACGGTAATTCTACATTTATAATAATATAAGCAAGATGCAAAAAGTAATGAACTAAAATATCATAAAAGTGATCTAATTTATTTGTTTGCACTTCCAATAACCTGGTTTAACTGCATTCATCAGTTTGCAAGCAACGAGCAAAAGGCAGGGTACATCCTGGATGGGGTGTAAGTCCATCGCAGGGCAGGTGCAAGCCAATCATACATGGGGACAATTTGGAGGCCACGGTAAAGGGCAAGGGGGGAAATGTGGCCCAGACATGGGGATAGCTCCCTATTATCGAGAAATGCCCAGGGATCTTTAATGACACTGAGAGTCAGGACCTCGGTTTAATGTCTCATTCGAAAGACAGCGCCCACTACAGTATAGTGTCCCCACTACTATACCGGGGCATTAGGACTCACACAGGCTGCAGGGTGAGCGCGCCCCGCTGGTCCCACAAACACCACTTCCAGCAGCAACCATAGCTTCCCAGGAGGTCTCCTATCCAGGTACTGACCAGGCTCACTCCTGCTTAGCTTCAGTGGGTAGCCAGTTGAGAGCTGCAGGGTGATATGGCTGCTGGCCCAGTCACAGATATCTTCCTCTTCAATTATCCTCTGTCTCTTCTAATGCTTTCTCTGCCATCCTAATGTGAGATTGTCTTGTTTTTAGCATCACCTTGTTCTGCTTTTAAAATACCGACTGATATCAGAGATAAGCCTTATTCAGTTGCAGTAATGTTGCACTCTCTTCATCTTGCAATTGCTTAGTTTTCTGGTTTGTTCATAGTTGTCACAGGTCCTCCAATTAATTTATGTCAAAGATTTTCACTCTGTAAGAAGTAGTAGTGTTCTCTAATTTACTTCTCTATGATGTTCCCTGGCAAAATATGTTGCACTTAATGTATAAGATAAAATGACATGTCCAGTCTAGTGCACCATGTTGTTCTGTAAATATACTGTACAAACATGGACTTATTAAAGCTGCTGCACTTCATCACAAGTAAGCATCTTCTGTTGTATCCTTTTTCTTACTGCCATTCATGCATTTGGGAGCAACAGATATAATGTTTTACCAAAAATTAGCAGAATAGCATTCATATATTTTACATATATAACCATAAATATGTTTGATTTTCAATAATACAATTTGATTGAATACAATGTATACAGTGGACCATTAATATGAGTTATTTCCCTTATACTAAGTGAAATTATGAAATAATGATAAAAATGGACCTTATTAACCAAAATCTAATAAATACCATATCAACACCTTTTTAATGTGTATTAGATTTCCTATTAAATCTAAGCCTTGTTTCTTCCAAATACCTCACTTATTACCAAAATCTGTGCACACCTGAAGAAGGCTTCACAGCCACAACGTTGTGTTTTCTCTCTTCTCTTTCCATCATGGAATAAACCTATTACTTGTTCCTACAGTACATAAAAATGATTACAACCTCTTAGTTTTCCCGTTCATACTACAGTTCAGTTTGTAATCAAAGTAGTAACTTGCAAAAAAGTATAAGAACTAACAAACATATTTTCAAATATTAACACATCATATATTACATCATAAATACAATGCTAGAGCACTGTAGGTTACCTGTAAATCTACAAAGATTGACTTTGTTTAAGATGCTATTCCTCACCAAAAGATGGCAGCTATCTTTCCTGATGCTCATGTGATGCTCAAGCCACCTGCTGGCAGATAACTAAAATAGCCAGTAGTGGCTTTCCAAAAAAAAGTGTGATCATATTAATGGAACAGTACACATTTGCTAAAATAATGTATTCTGGGAGGCAGCAGAGTGACATATTGATCCATATTGCTTCCTTGAAGTACAGGGCCAAGGAGTTTATTTGTTCTCCCCGTGTTCACGTGGGTTTTCTCCAGGTGCTCCAGGTTCCTCCCACGGTCCAAAAACATGCTGGTAAGTTAATTGGCTTCAGGGAAAACTGTGCCTGGTGTTCCAGGGTATATCCTGCCTTGCGCCTGTTGCTTACCTGGATAGGCTTCAGCTGCTCTGTGACCCTCTACTGGATAAAGCGTTTAGAAAATAGATGTATGTATTTTGGAAGTGTGTCACACACACGTGTGCTCATATAGGAGCACTGGTGTGAAAACCTCTTAAAGAGATTATTTGATAGACCACCTTTGTGTAACTCAACAACCAAGACAGCAATTATGTCACCTTATTGTGTAGACTGTGGATCCAGGGATGTGGTAAGAATTCAGTCAGAAGTTTCCTCATCTGAGAGCGAGAGAAAAAAGAGCAAAGTGTTCCACATGCCACTCACCTGTTTTGAGTGAACATGGTCCCCCTTTCGTTCCAGACAGATAATTGACAGCTTTAAGAAATAGATAAAGGTAGTTTCCAGTTAATCCAAATTCTGTAAGACATACAGTGCAAGGTAAAAAAAAATGTTTCGTGATATAAAAAATTAGAGTGGACTTCTTTTTTTTTTTACTGACTTGATCCTTTTTGCTGCTGTTATGTTTGGCTGATCCATTGTTTCTGGGTTTGCATCTTTTGTGCATGGGAAATCTTGTAATGTCAGAAATCTAATAACAATAATAATGTATTTTACAGGTATTTTCATACAATGTGACTTAGATTCATTATGGGTGATGAATACATTATAATACAATACAGACAACTTTACATCATTGCAAATAAGAAAGAAATTATGTATTACAGTAACACATCAAGAACTCCTGCAATGCTGTCACACTTGACAACAGCACACCATGTATCCCCAGAAACATGTGTGGACTCATTTCCTATTACCCTGTAATTTGTGAATATATGGTTTATAATTTTCAATACCTGTACTGTACATAGCCCAAAAAATACATTTTGCACCA